CAACTCGAGAGTTGATCAAGGGCCAGAAAACCGAGTACACTACCGCAGCCAGAGCTGCCTCAACTTTCCAATTCAACACTTCTTTTTCGTACTTCAACTAGCGGCGCGCTGTCTAAGAGACTTCTTTGGCACACATTTAAGATGTAAAAGCCCTTTGAATTAAATTAAGCATTGGGTGAAGAAATTTCAACATTAAATCTATGTCCAAGAGAAAAGATGCAATAAGGATATAAATTTTTTATTTTTTATTTAAAAATATAAATTTTTTGAGTTTTTAAACTAAGTGGTAGATTTTTTATTTTTTATTTTCTAAATAAAAATGTAAATTTTATATTTTTTTATTTAAGGATGTATTAGGTTATAAAGATAACATGACAAATAATAATTTTAATTGAAATAGGATAATTTTGTGTCTTTAAAAAAATAATAAAATTTACATTCATAAATAAAAAAGTAAAAATTTATCATTTGATTTAAGAACTCAAAAAATTTATCAAAGAAGGATGGAACACATTGGTTTGGTCCGTGTGGCTTGCATGAAATTAAAAGATTTTTCAAGATTCAGAGGCAAATAGGGGTAAGATATTTGAACTTATTCAATTGAGATCTTTTGTATGGATTAAGGCAAAGAAAGTTAGGTGTTACTTCAATCTTTCAAACTGGTTGCAGGACCCAATTTCATGCCTTACTCTTAACTATGGGGGGAATAAGTAAATTGGAGAAGGATAGGTTTGAAAGATGGGGTAACTTGAATTGGTTTGTATTTTTGTGACTTTGTAAATGGATTTGAGTACCTTTTGTACTCAGTTTATTATTAAAAATATTATTTGGCTTTTCAAAAAAAAAAAAACTCAAAAAATTTATATTTTTAAATAAAATAAATAACAAAATTCGTATCTGTTCAAAATTTATTATTCTTTGTGGTTGGACCCAAACGACAAAAGTTCTTGGCTGCGTTTTACCAACGCCAGAGAGAATTCGAAGAACAAAAGTGGAAGAGACAGTCAAAGAAATGTGGTTTGTATTAAAAATTCTCATGAAAGAGATTTGGAATTTATACTCATATCATGCAACAATAGATATATATTCGCATTTTATGATAAGAACAAAATTGGGTCCTCCACGGTTCTACCACTATACCAACATTAATTATCACATAAATAATTTTTGTATAATTTTTTTCATTTTTTTTATAATTTAACATATCATTAAAATAATTAATTTTTTTAATTTATATGAGACTTATAATATTAAATATATTTACTCATTTAATAACATATAAAAATTATATAAAAAATATATATAAAAAAATTATCTTTATAACATTACTCTTAATTATTTGGCATTCACACGGTCTTGTGCCTTAATTAGCTTGATTGATTATCCTCCTTCGTAATCATGAAGTCATCTCATTGCGTATAGAAACAAGCGTTTGCAATTTTTCTCTATTCTTTTTTTTTAGTTTGGGCAGTCTAGTAATTTGCGTTTATTGTGATACTAATTTTTCTTAAATGTATTTTTAAGAGGACATTCTTTCTGTCTGCTTGATATATTTAAATTAATGATTTTTTTATCTTGTGTCTTTAAAGTACATGATAAATGTTTATTTATTACACTTTTTTATTTAAATATATAAAGAAAAATGTAAAAAATTGATATTAGTTTTAGTGTTAGATGAATTTAATTAAATAGTTGATAAAAAATTAAATGTTGATTTTTATTTTTTTCAATGTAAATTTATGAAAAAAAATATTTAATATACCTTTAACATGTGTATTTATGATACAAATTAGACAAATCTTTAAATTAATTATATTTTACTTAATATTAATTTTAAGATTTAAACTTTAATTTTACTTGTAATATGACGTGAATTTATTTAGAAATAGATCCAATTGGGATTAGCGTTTGCCCACGAAATTTGCCTATGCATAAGAGCTTTGCCTATAAATAAAGGTGCTCAATAAAGCTAGCACCATCAAGTTCAAGTCCCATTAATTTAAGGAATTCCCAGCCACTTTCTTCACAGCAATGGAAAACTGCAAATAGGCTCAGCAAAGCATTGAAGTCAATTATAGGAGAAAATCAATATGCTTTTATTGAGGGAAGCAACTTGTAGATGGAGTGGTTGTTGCAAATGAGGCGATTGATGGGGCACGAAAAAGAAAATCCCGGTGCTTTATTTTCAAAATCGAATTTGAAAAAGCCTATGATAAGGTGTGCTGGTCCTTGCTTGATTACATGATGGAGAGAATGGGTTTTGATATAGTATGGAGGGGATGGATCGCAAAATGCTTAAAATCAAACACGGTGTCTGTTTTAGTCAACAGAAGTGCTACCAGAGAGTTCTCGATGACAAGAGGGCTTCAACAAGGCGACCCATTATCCCCATTCCTGTTCCTAATGATGGCAGAAGCTCTAAATGGACTAACTTCCGTAGTTGTTGCAAAGGGATACTTCCGGGGAGTCAAAATAGGAGATGGAGAGTTAGAAGTTAGCCATCTTCAGTTTGCGGATGACACACTTTTCATGGGAGAGGCGACTGAAGACAACATTTGGACAACAAAATGCATAATGAGGGCATTTGAATTGGTGTCAGGGTTGAAGATAAATTACAGAAAAAGCTCTTTAATTGGAGTGAATACAGATGAAGATTGGATCAGAAGCATGGCATGGATGTTGAACTGTAAAATCGAATCCCTCCCTTGTAAGTACCTCGGCATGCCATTGGGGGCAAACCCAAAGAGAATATCCACCTGGAAATCTCTAATAGACACATTCAGAAGAAAACTCTCAGTTTGGAAAGGTAGATTCTTATCTCTCGGTGGATGAATTACCCTCATAAACTCTGTGCTATCCAGCCTACCAGTGTTCCTGATGTCGGTATATCTGCTCCCAAAACAGGTAATCCATGAACTTGATAAAATTAGGAGGAATTTTTTGTGGGGAGGGGTTGAGGGAGGCAGAAAGATAGCTTGGGTATCCTGGGACAGGGTGTGCAACACAAAAAAAGAGGGAGGACTGGGGGTAAGAAACCTTAGATGGTTTAATATTGCCTTGCTAGGCAAATGGTGGGCGAGCTTAATAGGGGGTGAGAAGGGCCTTTGGGCAAGGGTGTTGTTAGAAAAATATGGTAGCAAGGAAGGAAATTGGTTATCATGGTTGAGTGGGGATCGAGTCTTAGGATCATCGTGGTGGAATGATATTTGTAAATTAAACATGGGTTTAGATAGCAAGGATGGATTGTTGCTTTTGAATTTCAACATGAATTTGGGTGAAGGGAAAAATGTTAGATTCTGGCTAGACACATGGGTGGGAGGGTTCTCTCAGGCTAATGTCTTTCCAAGGCTGTTTTTGTTGGCTACAGAAAAGAATTGCAATATCCATCAAATGGGGCATTGGAACAACGGATGCTGGGATTGGAAATTCCAGTGGAGAAGGCCACTTAGAGCTTGGGAAGAGGAAAATTTGCAACAATTGCTGGAGACAATAAAACACAAAAAACTAGTGCAAGGCGCAACGGACACTTGGTGCTGGAGTCTAGAGACCGGGGGAGGATATACCACAAGGACAGCCTATGAGCAGCTAGCAAAAAAAGAAGAAAACAAGCTGCTGGAGTACACCAAAATATGGGAGACGCAAGTACCACCAAAAGTGAGTGCTTTCCCATGGCAACTACTCTTAGATAGAATTCCTACAAAGGTTAATTTAGCAAAGTGTGGAATTTTGGATGCTAGTCAAAATATAAAATGCTTTTGGGGTGATAAACTTCCTGAAGATACAGAACATCTTTTTCTAGATTGCAGCATCTCCTATAATTTATGGACAAAATGTCTTAATTGGTGGGGATTATATTATGTCTTAGGGAACACTTGTATTGATGTTTTCACCCAACATAGATGGCACTAGGGATCAAAGGGCCTAAAAAAGGGATGGGGCATGTTATGGTTTACTGTAGTTTGGTCATTATGGTTAAGCAGAAATGAAACTGCTTTTCAACATAGGAAGCTAAATGAGGATAGGTTATTTGAATTAGTTCAAGTATGCTCATTTCACTGGGTTAGAAATCTGTTGAATTTGGAAAATTTATCCTTAATGCATGGAATGGATTTCTAATCCAGTAAGATGTTTGACAAACAGGATATAGAGGCTTGTTGGGAGTATTTGTTTTCTGGGTCTGTTTTTTGGACTGGTGGGTGATTTTGTCTTGACCACAATGTCTACACATAATTTCATGTACTAATGTTTATGGGTTTGAATACCCCTTGTACTCATAATAAAATTCTTTTGCTTTTCAAAAAAAAAAGATTGGCATTACAACTACTTACCTATGCTGCTCCAATCATTAGCAACCAGGAGTATCTGTCTCCTTCTCCCGTTGATCTTGTTGTGGTGAGGAGAGTTTTAGGGGACATCTTAAAGGATGGCAAAATCATCATAATTGATACCAATGGCAATGTGGTGTTTAAGGTCAAGGCAAATTTTCTCAGCATCCGAGGCTAGCTCCTCTTAGTTGATGTTGATGGGAAACCCATCTTCACTCTCCAACGCAAGGTAAGTTGCTAATTTTTTTTTAAAAAAAATAAATAATTGAGTGTTAAAATTTTTTTAACTAATTACAAGTTGGAAATAAAAATATATTTAGTTTAAGAAGAAGTAAGACAAATTTTCTATTTGTTGTACCCAAACAAATGAAGGAAGAGAGTTATTTACTTTATATTTTGTTTTTAATTAATTCAGTTAACCAAATGAGATGAGAGAATGTATCCTTCTATTCTCCTCAAATCAACATACCATATGTAGCTAGTCACATGTCAAATGAGATTTCATAGTTTCATGTTTGAACCATGAGAGTTGAGTTCCTTCCCTGCTCCTTTATACTACCCAAAAAATTTATTATTATCTTTTCTTATTAAAAAATTTATTAACAGTTACCAAAGGAAAAATATGTATGTGATTGAATTGTAGATATTGACCATGCATGATAGATGGGAAGCATACAAGGGAGAGAGCACAGAAGATTGTGATTTGATGTTCACGGTGAAGAAATGTGCCATGGTCCAAATGAAGACTAAGCTACAAGTGTTCATGGCCAAAAACACCAAAGAGTATGCCTGTGATTACAGGGTGGAGGGCAGCTTCTTTCAGGATTCCTGCGCTGTTTATGTTGGAGAGACTAACACCATTGTTGCCCAAGTAAGATACATTCCATACATTCTGCTCTGTGCATTAATTGGGATTTCATAATAATACATATTGAATGAAATTTCAGATGCACAAGAAGCTTAGTTTCGAAAATCTGCTGGGAAAGGAGAGGTTTGCGGTCACAATGTATCCCAATGTCGACCATGCATTCATTGCTGCGCTAATTGTCATCCTGGACAGCATTAACAGGCCTGGTTGGATTTAATTAGCTTAAAAAACATTGCACCAATCTATCTATGGCTAAATTATCTATGATAAATCAATAAATTGTCCTATAAGGCTAGAGCTAAGTAAGAGAAAAAGAAATGTAATTCTCTATATTATGTACAAAAATGTGTATGGAAATCCAGACTATGAAACACCACCAAAAATCATCCATTGGATGCTAGGACCCTCTTGAATGTAGGGGTAGTCTTGCCATCCAATAATTCTTTTTCTACAGTTTTGTTTAGTTTAGATTGCAAAACAAAAAAGGAAAAAAAGAAAATAAAAAAAAAAGAAGAAAATTAAGTGCATTATACAAGTAGTTAAATCTTAAAAATAAAATGTGCTGTGTTATTTCAATTACTCCCCCTTTTAATTTCAAACTTACAACTTCCATATTCATATAACACATATTTCATTCTTAAAATAAATTGAACCATTTGCTCATGTATGGGTTGGATGTATTCATACTAGCACAAATGCATTGGATTTATAACCATAATCAAATTCCTTTCTTGAATTTGGATTTGGGTTGCATTCTAATTTGAGATTAATTAACTTAGTGGGGGGTCATCCAAGTCATAGTGAGTTCGATTTTTTTTTTTTTTTGAACAAGGGTAATTGAGGGAAAAGGGGATAGAGAGGCTGTCAATGCAGCGGTTAGAACTCTGACATTTGCCAAGAGTTTAGTGCACCCGGACCAATGCAACCAAAGCTATGGGTGTGAGTCTAACTTTATTCATGCCCAAACATTTAGGGAATTCAAGGCAAAAGAGAAAAATTAGGAAATAAAAATTGTCCAACCTTTTTTCATTAGTAGTGCCAAACTTAAATCTTAGGAGAATCAAAATTTTTAGAGTAGTAATAAAGTACAGTGGGTCTAAATACTTCTTATACTCTCTAACAAAATTTAAGGAAGATGGAAATTATTCAAGTAAGCTTCTTATGTCTCCAATTCCATCATTCAAGTGCCAGACTTTGAAGGTTAAATGGATAGGCATCGGAAGTAGACTTTGTTCCATAAGCAACATTGCCAGCCAGGATGTTGATAGCCTCAGTGGGATGCACACCATCCCAGTATGCATATTGGCTTCTATTAGAACATGGAACTGAGTTTGGAAGGCAAAGCTGTCCCCCTTTATCTAGTTTACAACAACTAGCATTTATAACAAAACCTGAAACACCAAAACAAATACTATACATAACACCAATAATTCAAAATTATATGTTGTACACATTTGTAGATGTGTATTAATTAGTAGCAACCATCCATGATTATGAAAGGGAATGATGAATTTGTTTACCGGTAGATTGGAAACCATAAGGACTTATATAGGTGAACTTAGCATCAGGCATTTTGGTATTGAGTTCCTTGACAAGAGACAGAAGCACCTCATTGAAAAGTCCAACAGCTTGGTTTTGTGCATTTACGCAGGGAGAGCCTTTGGTACCGAAAGTTGCTACCGCATATGGAGTGCATCCAATTTGACCGATTGCAAATAAGGCAAATTTCCTTGCTCCATCATTGTACAAAGTCTGACAAAAATGTATCACATATATGTAGGTATCAAAAAATATTAATCAACAATCTTGAAATTCTTTT